AAAAAAAAAAAAAAAGACAGGGTCTCTCTCTGTCACCCAGGCTGGAGTGCCATGGTGTCAGCCTAGCTCACTGCAGCCTCAAACGTCCTGCCTCAGTCTCCTGAGTAGCTGGGACTACAGGCACATGTCACCACGTCCAGCTAATTTTTTCTATTTTTAGTGGAGATAGGGTCTCGCTTTTGTGCAGGCTGGTCTCAAACTCCTGACCTCAAGCGATCCTCCTACCTCGGCCTCCCAGAGAGCTGGGATCACAGGTGTGAGCCACCGCACCTGGCCAGTTGTAGATTCTTTTGTATTTGGATCTGGAGTTAGACTGAAAGCTGACAGGTGAAGGTCTTTTTCCTAATTAAAGCAGGTTCCCATGACTCGGAGCTGTTCTGAGCCTCCACCAGTGCTGTGGTCTCTGGGGAAGGAGGAGGGTCAGCTCTAGGAATTAGATTTGTGTTCTGGGCCACTTAGCCTCACTGTCCTCAGTTTCTTCCTGCTAAAGCAAGCGTACCCACCAGAGAACTTGCTTTTCAGGACCTACTTCAGTGAAAAGTATTGTTTTTATTTCTGTTATAGCTCTTCCTGTGTGTTTTGCTCACCCCTCCCTTCCCACGGTCTGCCTCACAGCTGTGTGTGTGCCTTCTGCTGGTGGGATTTAGGGGCCAGGGCTCCGTGCCAGTCGCCCACACCGCCCAGGGCAGAGGTGACAAGACTTTTAGGACTTAGCCCCTGACTTCTACAAACAAGCGTTTATTAGCCACATGGGGTCCTGAAGGACTAAGGCTGGCAGGATCCGTGGGGGGAGTTTGCTGTGATTAAAGTGTCCTCTTTCCGCAGCTATGTTTGACCGGGAGAACAAGGCTGGCGTGAACTTCAGTGAGTTCACGGGCGTGTGGAAGTACATCACGGACTGGCAGAACGTCTTCCGCACCTACGACAGGGACAACTCGGGCATGATCGACAAGAACGAGCTCAAGCAAGCTCTCTCAGGTTTTGGTAACGCATTTCTCTGGATTGCATAGCGTATTTCATTTTGGAGCCTCAGAGCCACTGAAAGTTTTTGTCCTTACTGTGTTGAACTTACTGGTTTTAAATGCAGTCTGTGTAAAAGTTCTGTTTACGTCACACAGGTTCATACTTTGTACTGTTTACATCACGAAGGCCATATTTGATAGGGGCACTTTTATGCAGTTTTCCATCCAAAATGAGATAAGGGCTATGCAGATGCTCCACCTTGTGTGAAACGGAGTGATGCCACGGACAGAATTGAGAATGTGGCTTTGGAAACGGTTCGAAGGGTAAAGCAGAGGGGGCGTGGGGCGGCTTGTGTTCCACGACACGTCAGAGCATGTGGAAAAGATGACAAAGTCACCCTCGGAAGCAGCTCTGTAAGTTACGGGTGTGACTCTCGCGTGGAGAGCGAGAGCACAGGCGCATGTGCCCATTCTCAAGTGCACTCCCCATGTGTGTGCTTGGCGTGTGCACACACACGGACCTGTATGTCAGGTTTGGGCGTGTGGTGGCGTGCTGTGCTTCTCGGGCGTGTTCATAGTACCTGTCCAGAGCGCATCGTGGCCTCCCGGCACTATCTCCGGTCCGAGAGGGCACTGAACTGTCCGAGACTAGCCCGGGGCCGGTCGTGGTCACACCAAGATTCTAGTTTGGGCTGACTGCACTGAGCGCTCTGTTCGCCTGGCCTGCCGTGCTGTGCGCAGAAGGCTGATTAAAAATGCCTTCTAGGAAAAATAAGAGAAGTTATTAATCTAAAATACATCATTTCTGGTGGCCGTTAACATGGCTTCCGCCCTTCTGCCCAGTTTTCCTTCCTGCACGTGCTTCGTGCTTACCTTCTCTTTCCTTTCTTGCCTGTGGACGTGTCTGTAGTGCCAGGTAAAGGCACTGGGTCTCCACAGGAAGTCCTGTTCTGAGCTCACCAGCCGTGGGCCAGGATTTGGGTCGGACGGCTCCGACTTGGGACTTGGAGCGCAGCCGACCTTGCTGCGCCTTGGGTGGGGGGAGCGGTAGAGCCGCCTGGCTCCTCTTCCCGGGGACAGTTGTGGAAGGCAGGGTAGGAAGGCCACAGCTCTCCTGGAGTGCAGTGCTGCCAGGTGGGCGAGGGTAGCATGGATGTAGGGACCAGCCAGTGGCCACAGACAGGTGGCAAGTTCAGGGCGGTCGTCCTGTCCTAAGCTTGTCAGGCCCTGGAGCTCCTCTTTTGCTTAGCACCAGTGACCATCAGGTCCTCGGAGCTCACAGTGGAAACACTGGTGTAGGCGTCTCAGGCCTCTGCCTCTTGGTCAGACCAAGAATGCTCCAGAAAACTCTGTCCGTGGCAGGAGGCATGACCCTTTCTTGTGGTCCAGAACCGGCTTTAGCTGGGTGGCAACAAACCCTTCCTGGTTCCTGAGCTTTTCCTGGAGAGAAATGTTCTGTGGCCACGTTTCTTTGGTTATCCTAAAGAGTTTCCTCACGTGTCTGGTCCTTGGTTTCCTGGGGTCCTCTCCCCGTCTCATCTGTGGAAAGGAGCGTTGTCATCCTTGCAGGTTAGTTGTTGGAAAGTTTTTCGGTAGTAACCCGTTAGGAAGTTGGCCTCAGAAGCAAGAATTGCTGCCCTGTCTCGACTCCTCAGAGCAGATGTTTTGCTCTCAGGTGAACAGGAGGCTGCATGTCAGCTCGGTAGCCGGCACGGAGGGGTCACGGGCAGGGGACCTGCAGGGTTTCGCTCCCGGGGTCTCAGGCCGAGCTTGGCACAGTGTGGCTCTAGCAGGACCACGCGGTGGGTTGTATCCTCTGCCCATTCGTGCCTTTGAACCTTCGTCGTTAGCGTTGACTGTACGGCAGGTTCAGAGGCCTGGTGAGAGATGGGTGAGGTACGTCCTCGCGCCCTGGCGCTCGCCGCCCTGGGGCTGACCCCTCGGCACGTGCGGTGCAGGTCGTTGGTTTACTTGACGTTCGGTTCACACGCAGGAACCCCCTCTGTGGGGCAGGGCTCGTCCGTCGGAGGCAGCTGGGCAGAGGACAGCCCCCCTCCACCCAGATTCCTCACCCCCTCCCCAGGCGTCCCCTCCCTCCTCCAGCTCAGGCAACCACGGCCAGTTTCAGCCTTTTTCCATCTTTTTGCTGCTTTTGCACATCCTCCTCTATGACTGAGGCATTCTGAGCAAGTCCAAGGCCTGTGCTGGTTTCCCCACACGTTCCCTGGGCATGTCGGGGCAGGTGGACGTGTGCCGCTGATGCTGGCACAGTTTGCTTTTACGGTGGTTCTGCCTGCGCTGGGGTCTGAGGCCCAGAGCAGCTCTGCCCCTCTTCCGTGCCCTTGGCTGGTTGGAGACGCCAGGGTCGGCGCCCTGTGCAGCGTGTGGGTCCCTGTAGAGTCATTTCACTTGCCCTGCTGGCTGTGTGCTGGTGGTTAGTTGCCATCCAGGTTTCCCAAGTGGTCACATGAGGACACACAGGTGGGCCGTGCTGCTGGGAGTGACGGTGGGTCTGGGCGCACAGCCTGGTGCTGGCCATCCTGCCTGCCTGACCTGGACATGTCTGCGGGTGATTTGCTGGTCGACAGGGACTTTGCGGCACCTACAAGGTCTGTTTGGTTCCTGAAGTACCGGCATGGGGGCGGATGTTCCTGTCCCCATTGGTTGATGCCATCGTCACCTCTGGGGGGCTCGAGAAGATGCAGGGAAGGGCTGGGGGGTTGGGGAGCGTCTCCACGCTGCCCACCCTGATCCTGCACGGGCCAAGGGACTGTCTCCACCCCGACTTCCTGGGGTGGGCAGCGGAGCCTGCCTGGTTTGGAGCTGTGGTCCCCCTAGGGGCACTGAGCTCCTGCAGGCCAGAGAGGGCCCCAGGAGCCTGTCCTGTTGGGCGAGTGCAGCTTGTTTTCCCTGGGGGGTGGAATAAGCAAGTTACGTGGAGGGCAAGGCTCCGTTAGGCTCCTTCACGGCGTTTCAGAGTCGGGGCTTTTGTCCAAAAGAGGAGAATGGCCATAGAAAGGACGTGTCAGGTGTGGCCCTGTGGCGAGCGTGCTGGTCTGACGGGCAGCCTGTTACTTCCTGTGGCCACGTTATTCTCAGAGAACAGTTTTCTGCCAAGGTTCTTTTTATAGTTCGTTCATCATTCATTTTGTTAGTCTAATTCTGTTTTTGTTTTTCCTACAATAGTACTGATGAGTGGGGAAATCGGAGGTTAATTCCAGGAGCACTGGACCTGCTCCCGGTGTCTCTGCAAACTAGAAATCCTGTGCGTCTGTTACTCTCCTCTGTTCTTCTCCAGTCTTGGCAGGAGGCCACCGATGGCTCCTGTTCCCGTGCACACCGCACACCTGGTGGCTGTGTCCCAGGCTCTGTCCTCTGCAGGTCAGGGCTCAGCCTGGCTGCTGCCACACCTGGTGTGGGTGTGAGGAGGTGCAATTGACAGGCCGGGACGAGGGGCAGCGTGCACCACCCTGCAGGCTCCTTCCAACTTCAGCGGGGTGGGAGTCTTGTCTTCTGCTCAGCGTGCAGGGAAGGGAAGCCTGAAGTGACTCCATCCTCACACGCTTATTAGGGCCCTGAACTTAAGTCACTGAACGTCCCGACCACTCTGGAAGGTACTATGTACATGTTTGCATGTTCGAATCTTATCGGTAAAATGATTAAGTATTCATATAGGTAATTAACTGTGAAATTCACTCAGACAGTAGGTGTACATATCCTTGCAAAGATTTCAGCAAGACTGCAAACCTGTAAAAATACTTTAGCACCTGGATCTGGTCTCCTGAATCAGTCACACAGGTAGTGGGTTGGGGGGGAAGGGCGGGGATGGAAGCAGGCAGTTGTGTCCTCGTCCAGAGTGGCCTCCAGGCTGGTCCGTGGACATACGGTGCGTCCACACATCTCAGAGCCATCTCCCTGCTGGAGATCTTTTTGGATATTCTCAGTAAATTGGAAATGGAATCCTAATGTCTGATGACCCTTTGGTGACTTTGGCCTTTGTGAGCTGGACTCCCCCTTGTGCACCTCACTCCCTGAGGTCGGCTGCACCCGCTTACGTGGGCGTGTCCACCAGCCACTCCTGTCCCTTGTGCTGATGTCTGCTTTGGCTGGAAGCCTTCTGAGATAGTTTAGCTTTCAGAGCATTCTCCGGTGATGAGTAACCCAGGGCAGCGAACCATTCACAACTTTCTCATCTAGATGAACAAACATAACGAGATCAGTCAAGGACTTTTTGAAATGGTTGTTCCCCTGGCTTCAAAGACCTGAGCTGGCTACCCTGTGGGGGGCGGTGCGGTTAACTTGGAGTGAGAGAGTACGCCAGAAACGGCCGCAGCTCTCGGGACGGGGACCGCTTCCAAGTCATTCCTCCTTCCAGGGAGATGCTGGCCTTTAAGCTGCTGGCGTTGTGGCGCTGCAGATGTAAAATTATTGCAGACCGATTTATTTAGGAAGCACATCTCTGCTCTCAGAGTGCCTTCGAGTGAATTTGCACTTTTATTCCCACGCAGCCCTGCTTTGTTTGCTGTTACGAGGCTGTGGGGTCTTGTGAGGGGGAGCAGGGGCGCTGATGCAAGCGCCCACCCCCCAGCCCCCTCCTTACGCTGGCTTTCCCTCTTCAAGGCTACCGGCTCTCTGACCAGTTCCACGACATCCTCATTCGGAAGTTTGACAGACAAGGACGGGGGCAGATCGCCTTTGACGACTTCATTCAGGGCTGCATCGTGCTCCAGGTGACCGGGTGGCGCTGGTGGGCAGGGGTGTGCTTGGCCTTCAGTTTAAGGAATCAGCCGTGTGTAGAATTAATTAGTTTTTGGAGCTTATGAAAGTTAATCTCATCTTTGGAGAAGTAACTGGTTAATGGAAATGTAAACATTAGTGTTTTTCTCTCCTTGGAAATATTAATATTATAGAACATCCCATTCAAGGAGAGGAAGCTTTTATTCAATGTCTAGCAGGTTATGTACACGTATACTGTGGTATTAAATATATTGTATTTTTACAAAAATCCTTTATTCTGAGAAAATGGGCAAGTTTTCTGTTGTGGTTGTCACTGTGTCCTGCCTTTGCATGTGAGGTGAGCTATAGGCCTGGCTCAGGCCTCCCTTGGGCTCAGAGCCCTTCCAGTACACGAGCATCTGGCAGAGTTTGTGATTCACGCTGACCCCTGCAGAGAGCTCTGTGCCCAGAGGGTCGTTTCCCTGCGGCAGCTCCGTAGCGTCCGACCGCTGGTCTCTCTGCTTCGCCGATGAGAAGACGGAGCTGCAGAGAGCTCACGGGACTTGCCCAAGACCCACTTGAGACGGAGAGCAGGGTTAACGGGGCCCACCTGGCTGTTCCCACATGGACCCCTGCTACTTTCAGGTGGATAACCAGGCTCCGTAGATTTAAGCTTTAGAGATGTTTTATAAACCTTTATATCTTTGAGAGTTTTTATTATGACAAATTTCAGACAAAATCAGTAGCCGAGACAGTAACAATGAGCTCGGATTCCAACATTATTAACTCTTGTCCAGTAAGTCGTAATATCTCCATGTTCCTTCATGCCCTGCACCACGGTCGTTCTGAAGCAGGTTCCATTTTATAGAAAGCAAATGTTTGTTACATAAATACTTCAGTAGAATCTGTTTCTGAAAGGTAAGTTCTTCTAGTTTGACTCCAAATTGAGGTCGTATCTTGTCGGCTCTGGGATCCGCTGAGAGATGTGAACAGCATGAGGTTTTTAGATATAATGTGGAATTTTTTTGGAAAATGTTTGCAGATTTTTTTGTTCTATTTAAGATGATAGTAAAAGCGAGTTTTCTTTGATTTGACTTGGATATGTCAGTCCCTGTTCAGTGATTTGGTGGCGAACCAGGTCTGTTAACATTAAAGCTTCAAACCTCTAAAATGGCGTAAGCCATACCCGGTCGCTGCCTCTCAGGGTTCTTGCAAGACTGGATTACATTTTTGCAGTGTTCTCTGGACACTTTAGAAAAAGATGCAGCGCAAAGTTGGGTGCAGTGTCGGGATTGCTGTGGGGCAGAGATTTTCACGTGAGATTGTCCCGTAAGTTAACGTCTGGTCTCGTGTGGGCTCTCGGCAGCTGCGGCCATGCTCTCCAGCACCTGCCAGGGCCGACCTCCCCTTGGGCAGCGCCTCCTCGCAGCCCCGCCCCATCCACGCGGGCGGCCTGACCACCGCCCTGGGTCCACCCCGCCCTCGGAGAGTGCCCATGACCATGAGGAAAAATCTCCTCAGAAATGTTTTCCTCCTGCTTTTTTCCAAAAAGAAAAAAGGTTTTTGAAAATTATATTTTACAAAATAACATGAGAACTTGGAGAAATCTTGGAAAAACACAAAATAAAGAAAAATCGTCTGTTATTCTGTAGCCAGAGCTGTCTGCTGCTGTCACTGTGGTTGGTCGTGTGCTGGTGCTCACGCGTGGGCACGTGGGAGCTGGCCCACGCCGCCCTCCCAGGTTGGGGAGTCTGGGGAGGGGGCCCCGCCTCAGGTCTTGACGCGAGTGGGCTGTTATCACACGGAATTGCACTGTGCCTGTTTATCCGTGTCGTTAAAATTCTTCAGAGCCTTTTGCAGTTGCCCCGAGTCCATCTGGAAGTGGCATGTATTTAGCTGTCCCTGTTACGGGGCATGGATGGCCGCCCCGTCTCTGCCTCTGACCTGACCTGAACCCTCAGCTAGCGGAAGGGGCAGGCAGTGGGTGGGGCCCCCCTCTGCTGTGGGCGGGTTCTGGGGGGAGCCAAAGGGGGCTGCTGTCCCTGTGCCCTGAGCCCCACGTGGCCCAGGTGCCCAGCGTAGCAGAGACGAGCCGTTGGGGAGGGGCCTTCCGCGGGACGGTCATGCAGTGGGAAGGAAGGGCTCAGGGAACCAGGGCCTGGGCCAGGGCTTTCCTTCTGGGTTGCGCTGGGCCTGCTGGCCTGCGTTCTCACCACCCCACGCCCGCAGGCTCTGTCCTTTGGGGGAGAGCCCCGAGTGGTGGGGGTAGTCAGGGCCCTCTGTGCTGGTGTCTGGAGATGAGGAAACTACGCTTCTGACATTGGGTTCCTAAATGTCTCCTACCTAGTACGTCTTTTCCTTGTGCGTGTGATGTCAAGATCTGAATGCCTGTTTTTTCCCCCAGAGGTTGACGGATATATTCAGACGCTACGACACGGATCAGGATGGCTGGATTCAGGTGTCTTATGAACAGTATCTGTCCATGGTCTTCAGTATCGTATGACGCTGTCCTTTCGTGAATAACAGCACGGCTTGCAGAAAAAAGACCCACAACGCCAAATCTCTTACCTTTAACAGAACAGAACGGATGCAGTTAGATACTGCTGCTGTTCCTCCTCTAAATTTTACTACTTGGGGACCTGGCTGTACATAAGTGGATGAGCTGATCAACGTTTTTGCAGTTGTGATAGTGGCTACATCGTTACAATTGGGTTCGGTGACTGTTTCATCGTGCCATGAGGTAAACGTAATAATGTTTCTGCTTGCAGAAGAATGCATCATCTACTTTTCTAGATAATTCTGTAGTGAAAATGCTTTATTAGCCAATAGAAATTTTAAAATAATATGGAACTTGCACAGAAGGCTTTTTACGTGCCTTACTTTTTTTAAAAGGAGTTTATTGTGTCATTGGGTATGCAACACGAGCAATAAAGGGAACGGCACAGACTCGGGGTGTACTTTTGCCTTTTCAAATCGAATAGGCCAGAGAAACAAGCCATGTGGCATCGTCCCAGGCCCCAGTGTTCGCCACGTCAGGTGCGCTGGCTTCTGGGGAGGTCCTGGGGACACCTTCTAGAATGTTCTCCAGCTCAGCCTGCGAGGCTTTGCTTATGAAAATCCAGAAAGACTGTCCTGTCCTCTGATATGGGAGTTAAATTTTATAAAACTCCTTTGTCTGCATGAACAAATTCAAATCGGTTTAGTAGGTTGTGAGTGTCTGTGATTTATAAATGTCGAACCACACTACACTGCCAGTACCTTAGTTACAGATTTCAGACAAAACTAGAGCAGGCGGCATAGCCAGCCATTTGTCACCAGCTCGCTGTCACCCCTCGGCCCTGCCTCCCTGACATCTCCTGGTATATCCTGAAATAGCCTGACAAGAATAAAGTTGTGCTGTGACTGCGGCTGACTGCCTGTCTACCTCATCATGTGTGAGGGAGCGAGCCGTTCCAGAGGCCTCGGGCCCAGCACTGCGGCGCTGGGCACCCGGTCCGGGCCCGAGGCCCCTCGGCTGGGAACACTCAGGGTCTGGGCCCAAGGCCCCTCGTCCTGGGGACACACCCAGGGGTCTCTGCCGCGGCCCCCTTGTCCTGGGAACACTCGGGGTCCGGGCCTGAGGCCCCTCGTCCTGGAACGCTCGGGGTCTGGGCCCGAGGCCCCTCGTCCTGGAACGCTCGGGGTCTGGGCCCGAGGCCCCTCGTCCTGGGAACACTCGGGGTCCGGGCCTGAGGCCCCTCGTCCTGGAACGCTCGGGGTCTGGGCCCGAGGCCCCTTGTCCTGGGAACACTCGGGGTCTGGGCCCGAGGCCCCTCGTCCTGGGAACACTCGGGGTCTGGGCCCGAGTCTCCTCGTCCTAGGGACACACCCAGGGGTCTCTGCTGCGGCCCCTCATCCTGGGGACACACCCAGGGGTCCCTGCTTAGTCCCCTCGTCCTGGGACATTCGGGGGTCTGAGCCTGGCCGTATTTACTTTGTGGTGGGACCCACATCTGTCCACTTTGCTTGGTTCCCTCTGGCTGGGGACCCCCCGGAACATGAGCTGAAAGGCTCTCTGGAGTTGAAGGAAGAGGGGTGTCGGCTTGGTGGTCTGAGTGCTCCTGTGATCCCAGGGTCAGTGGTGCTGGGCCTCTTCTCTGGTCCCTGGGTCCTGCTCTGCCCTCTGGGTTGGTGGGGCCTGCCCTGGCCTGTCATCCTCTGCCTCTCCTTGGTGGCCATACTGCTGGGTGCGCCCCCTGGCCAGGGATTGGGCTCCTTGCCCACCACGCCCCGTGCTGTCTGTGGCCACCTGGTGTCTGCGGGTCCCGGCTAGTGTGTGTGTGAAGGGGTTGGGGGCCATGAGGTTTGGGTCCTGGTGGGGTGTCCCGTCAGAAATTGGGTGTCCTTGGGGTTCTGCTAGAAGCCTTTGCTGGCCAGGGGTGGGGCCTGGCGCAGTGGGTTTCCTGTCTGGTGCCCGTGGTTATAGGGGTGAGAATGTCCCTGGCTGTGGGTGTGTGTGGAGGGGATGCAGGGGGTTTGGGGTCTTCATTGAGGGGCTGCAGCAGAGCTGGGTCCCAGGGTCACTTGACAAAGAATCTTTGGCGCTGAGACGGACCTTATGTGACCTCAGTCACTGACCCTAATGCCCAGGTCCACACATCTAAGTGTTCTGCCCCCGTCCCCCGCTCATCTCACGGGCCCCTTTACTGAACATCTTCCATTTGACACCCCCGACCTGCCTGGGGGCCCTCGGGAGATACCCGATTCCACCATCACCAGCCCGCCAGCCTCCGTGCTCAGGGTGAGGGCAGCTGCCCTGGCCACCCCCAGCCCACATTGTGCCCCCCAGGCCCTCATGCCGGCTGCCGTGCAGGGGGCAGCCCGGCCCTGCCCCGTGGTCTGCCTCAGCCCAGCTCGCGCTGCAGCCCCTGGCCCGGCTCCCTGGGAGCGGTTCTGGAGGGCGCGCTGAGGGCAGCCGCCGCGCCGCCGACGTTCTCGGGGAGGCGCCTCCCCCCAGGTACAGAGCCAAGGTTTATCCTTCGTGGATCTAGTGCGGCCTGACGGCTGATGCCAGGAGGCCCGGTCTCGTGCATCAGCTACTGGTGAAGGGATTTTGTAAATTGTGATCGGCTCTGTGTCCCCGAAAGAAAGGTGCAGACCAGGTGAGATGGACACTTTCAGATTGTGGCTGGGTGGAGGTTCCTTCCTTCCTGTTCGCAGGGGGGGCCGCTCCTTGATGGAGACGGTGTGCGCGGCCCTCCCCGGACGTGGGGCCGGGTGCTCTCGGGCGTGCGGTACAGCTGCTATCGGATGGGTGGTGCAGACACACAGGTGTGTGGCACAGAGGCGGGTGTGTGGCACAGATTCGTGTGTGTGGCACAGATGTGGGTGTGTGGTACAGAGATTCGTGTGTGTGGCACAGAGGCGGGTGTGTGGCACTGATTGGTGTGTGTGGTACAGAGATTTCGTGTGTGTGGCACAGACGGTGTGTGGCACAGATTCGTGTGTGTGGCACAGAGGCGGGTGCGTGGCACTGATTGGTGTGTGTGGTACAGACGTGGGTGTGTGGTACAGAGATGTGTGTGGCACAGACGTGTGTGTGGTACAGACATGGGTGTGTGGCACAGATTTGTGTGTGTGGTACAGATGTGGGTGTGTGGTACAGAGACGTGTGTGTGGTACAGACGTGGATGTGTGTGGTACAGAGGTGTGTGTGGCACACAGACACTGTGTGGTACAGACGGGTGTGGTACAGAGGCGGGTGTGTGGTACAGAGACGTGTGTGGCACAGACGTGTGTGTGGTACAGAGGTGGGTGTGTGGTACAGGCGGTGTGTAGTACAGACACGTGTGTGGCACAGATGTGTGTGTGGCACAGATGTGTGTGTGGCACAGACGCGGGTGTGTGGCACAGAGGCGGGTGTGTGGCACAGACACAGACACTTGGGTACCATGCAGGATCCGGTGACTTTAGGGAGCTACGGTAGCTACGAGCAGGACCACTGGGCAGACGTCACAAGGAAAAAAATCTCGCGAGGACGTGTGTGCCAAGTTTAGCAGAAGTCGCGTGGGGAGGCGGGGCGCTGTCCCAGCAGGGCTGGGGTGCGGTAGGACAGGTGTGCGCCAGAGCCGCACCTGCCCAGGAAGGACTTTCCCAGGGGGAAGGGCCGACTTTCAGGACAAAGCTGTGCTCAGGGCGTGGGAGCGGCATGGAGCCAGGGTCCCGCCAGGGGGGCAGAGTGAGGCGTGACCTTGGAGCATGGGTTTGGGGTGGGCACTTCAGCCACTGCTCTCCGGAAGGCCTGGGTGGGCAGGTGGGCTTCCAGGGTGTGCGTAGGGGGCCATCGCTGGGGAGGGGGCACCTCCTGCCCTCCCGTGCTGCCCGGTGCAGACCTCATCCTTGTCCTCAGCCTGCCCCAGGCCACCAGGCACCTGGCGAGGTCTTGAGAGGGAAACCTCAGGGAAGAGCCAGCCCACAGGCACCAGCCACTGAGTCTGTACCGTCGGGCCTTGGTGCCCTGAGCCTCTGCCCGGAGGAGTCACAGGAGCAGAAGACTGACCGCGGCCTCCATGGCGCCAGGGCAGTGAGCGTGGCGCTGCAAGGGTGCTGGAAGCTTCTGCTGTGTGCAGCTCCTCACCCATCCTGTCGCTCAGCCCTCAAGCCCTGCCAGGTCTGCTCAGAGCCGGTTCTGGGGATGGCTGAGTGCAGAGCGGGCTGGCAGGGTCGCAGGCCGGCCTGAGGGAGGCTGCATCAAGCAGGCAGGGTCCGTCCGGGAGCCGAGACCGCCCACCAGGGACGCTTAGCCTGCTGCTCAGGCCCTGGTTGGGGGCCCTGGACACTCACCCCGGGGCAGCAGAACGTGGCCCTCAGGCTCCTCTGGGCCTGGACACAGGGGCTTTGTCCCCTCTGGGGTTGGGACACAGGGGGCTCCATCCCCTCTGGGGGTCCCCCTTCCCTTGACCCCCTTTTGTACCCACAATGTGCTGTTCTGGGCTCTGGGGCCACAGTAGGGCACAAGGTGCCGTCCGTGTCTGCTCCGGGGTCGGGATGATCCTTCGAACGTCAAGTGGTAGGGGCCATGGGAGGCCGTGGGGAAGGGCCCTTTTAAGCAGGGGGATGAGGGCAGCCAGGGTGGGGGGTGAGCTCTCTAGGCACACAGAGCAGGCCCTTGAGAAGCCTGGGGCAGGCGGGCGGGGTGAGTGTTCCAGGAGCAAGGCCGTGGCAGGGTGGGGGGTGAGGTCAGGGTCTGGGGATGGCACCTGGAGCCCCACGGGGGCCCCTCACTGTCACCTGTGCTGGTGCACCTGGCCGCCCCGCCTGGCCTGTTCCCCACCAACCTGCAGGCATCGAGCCGAGGCCAGCGCAGTGGCCGTGTCCCGGGAGCAGGGAGCCCTGCCTGGCGTCCACACGGTACATCCCTGAAGCAAGAAGGTGCCCGACGCGGTGGAGGCTGGACTTCTGGAGAGGGATGGGCACCCAGTGCCTGGCAGGGAGCTGCCTGGTGGCTTTGTTCAGAATTCCCCAGATCCTGCTCTGTCCTCCCCGAGAGAGTGACATGGGAGAGAAAACACAGCCACAAGCAAGGGCTGTCCAAGTGGTAACCGCCAGGAGGTGTCAGCACCTAGTGCTACAGCGTCCCTGGGCACTGAGCAGCCTCCCCTGCACGGGCCTCTGCTGGCCCAGGAGGTCAGCGCCCCCAGCTGCCTCTGAGGATGGGGCACCGGCGCAGCAGACACACCTCACCTCTGCCACTTGGGGTGCTTATTTTCTTTAACAGATCAGAAGATACTGCGCACTGCTTGAAAAAATGTGCAGGAATTACGGACACTTCAAGCAGTAAAAAGAAGAAATTACAAGCTCACTCAATCTCAGAGTTACCCAACCAAGCTTTTTCTGTGCATAATTCACTTTACCAAAATTGGATCAAGGCCGGGCGTGGTGGCTCACGTCTGTATTCC